GAGAGAGAGAGAGAGAGAGAGAGAGAGAGTGTGAGAGTCCCTGTGTGTGTGGCGATATTTGCGTTGCACGTAGGTAGAAGGGGGTTAGAGGTGCCCCCTCTCCCCCTCCCCCCCTCCCCCTCTCCCCCCCTCCTCTCTCTCTCTCTCATCCCTCTTCTCGCTCTATCTTTAATTCTCTGTCGATAGCTGACACAGTGAATATGTTGATGTTTGAAATGCGGAGATGACGAAGGCCATGCTTTTCCTGGTAGGAGGCTTGTTAAGGCCCTGCAGGTATGTCCAGACTGCATGCAGGATGCCTTGCTGCTGGCAATAACGAATGGCCAATCAGATCACCTTGGAGGTTGAATAACTGGTTGAGTGAGCGTCTTTGCCGGCCAGCCGGGGGGGACAACGAGTTGCCTTCTTTCTTTCCTCTGGTAACTTGTCTCCTTCCCCGGAGACCGGTACTATAGCAGCAAAGACTGGCCATGGATGGAAGTAGTGGGTGTGGAACGCCAATTGCTTCAAGACGGGCCATGGCTAGCAGCAGAAGAGGATCGCTGTCGAGGTGCTCGGGGGGATCATGGGCCACGCTCATGGCATGCCTAACACTCGCCGTTGTACATTTCGTGGCAACAACACTTCACCTCATCCCGCCGCCAGATCCCTTGCCGGATCCAAACGCAATTCATGTATTTGTTACGACGGATGAAAAAGACCTGAGACCGCTCGTCGTCTTGCTCAACTCAACATTCGTCAACAGCAAGTAAGAAGTTCTCGCAAACCCTTGTCTATACTCTCTTTTTTTTTTTTTAATTAGTTTTAACACTTGAATAAAAGAAAAGAAAACGCTCAGCGCAGAGTGAGCCGGAAGATTTCAGGAAGTGTCGTTCACACACTCTGTACTCTGTTACCGCGCATTCTGAAAAATGCTGTTGTATTTAAAAACATGCTGTGTGCCTCGCCAAAAAGGAGACATTACTTGTTCTTATGTCGAAATATGATTATAATGTGTGTCCTTTCTGTTGTCAAGGACAGCCTCATTCTTGAGCTTTTTCTTGCCCTTTCCTTTGCCTTCTTTCTCATTCTACACTCCGTATTTTCCCTCTTCCATTCTTTSTTTGTCCTCTCTCTGTCTCTTTTCCCTATGTTTAACACCTTCCCCTTCACTCTGCCTCTCTCACAGCGTGCAAGTGGGCTGTTATGGCATACGGGGATGGGGGCAGCTCGTGCTCAACTTCATCAACGTGGCGAGCTTTGCACGTGAGAGGCACAGTGGAGGTGGAGTTCAAAGAAGAATGATAAATTTAATGGTTTCAATCTGCCCTTGCTTTTTCTTTTTCTTTTTGTTTTTATTTTTGCAATGTGCCTGTTTTTTGTTTTTATTCTTTGTTTCGCAAAGTGCGCTCTTTTAGTTTGTAGTTATGTGACAATATATATATGTGACAATATATATATCAAATTCAAATATCCGAAAAAAATGAACAGGCAAGACCAAAGTACGACTCCTGTGGAAAAGAAGATTGAACAATTTGAAATTTCGACTGTCCATTTCGTCCCTCGCAGGCTTGGATGTGATGAGGCCTCTGCACTCCGGTTTCGATTCAAAAAGTGTTGAATAGGCAGGAGGGGTATATGGGGCTGGTGGTGCTAATGTCTCCCCGGAACAGAACATACCCTGATGATCAATATATGTAAGCTGTCTTGCTGGTCTGATCCAGTGATGATAAGGGTGCGTTGTGTTTGGGGGAAGACAGTTACACTGGCTTCGTTTGTGTTTGAGTTTCGTAGAGCAAAATGATACGCTTTGATTTGATGGAAATCATTTGTTTTGTTTTATTCTCATTTTGAGTAGCAACAGCCCCTAATTTTTCAGTACTTGACAAGGTTTCGAACTCGTGACATGCGAGTCAGCCACCTTGGAGGGCCTGGATTTGGTTTCACTCTCTCTGCTGAATCGCTTCTTCATGGCGAGAGCTCCCCCCCCCCTCCCTCTCATTTAGCAGTACTTGGTGGCCATCTTATTTGTCGGCGTGGCTGATCTCTGTTTCCCATGTCGCCTTTGCAGGAATGCGGACAAGCTTGCATTTCATATATTCATGCCTGAGGATAGAGAAGCATCGACCCGGGAGCAGTTGAGATTTGTTCTACCCAACGTGAGATTCGACGTCAACAGGTTGGTCATCAGCTCGCTTTCGGCGTATGCGTATCTGATGAATTGATTGATAGTGTGGGGGACGGCCTTCTTTCCCGTTACCCACGGAAAATAGAAACCTCTGGAAACCTTAGCAATACTACTCAAATTCTTCAACCCATTGTGGCCATAGCTGAATATTGTATGATGTATTGAATACGATGCACAGCTTTGGCTGAGTACCGAGGGCGGCTGTCACCGTATGTCTAGCATCCAACCTCTACAACAATCCAGGCTTATGAAAAAAAAGGAAAAGAAGGAAAAAAAAAAGAAAAGAAACCATGAAACTTGGTGGGATTGTAAGGGACGCTAGGCCCTATTTCCAGCAGGTGTTGCTTCGTACCAATAGATTGGAGCCACCCTCCAGGAGGCTAGCAGGGGCTGCTGCTCTTATCGCCGCTGCTAGCCTACCCACAGAGAAGTTTCCTTTGGAAGGAAAAAAAAAAGGATCGAGGCGAGACTATGGTGGCTTTCCTTCTTTTTCCTTCCTTTTCTTTTTTCCCTTTCTAATCTAATGCACGGCAAAAGTAGGCACTTGATTTGATACGAGTAGATTTCAAAAAAGCCACAAATTCCTGAAAAGAAAACAAACTTGTGCCATGAGTTCGAAAAGTAATAACCGGCGTTGCAAGCCAGTTTATTAGGGTCTTGGCCGGTTGGAGAGTGGGATTGAGTCATTGTTCGTGAGACCCCAAGTGGAGAGCCTCAAAAGGGATTCCGACCATCTCCTGTGGACTTATGGGGGGGGGGAGTCGTTAAAAAAAAGAAGGTAAGTGGGGGTCTTGGCCGGTTGGAGAGTGGGATTAAGTGATTGTTGGTGGGACCCGCGTGGAGCCCCAAAAGGGATTGAGACCATCTCCTCGGGACTGAGTGCAGAGCACTAGCCTATGTTATCAACTGCTGAACATTCAGCAGGGTCTGAGCGGCACAAAAAGAGAGAAAAAAAGGGATAAAAAAGATAAAAAAAGGGATAAAAAAGGTTAAAAAAGGGATAAAGGAGGAAAAAAAGGGAAAGGCTGGAGCCGTTGAAGCACTACAGAACCCTGCCCGGTGCTAAGCGGGTTGACATAGGATCGCAGTCAGGCTGGGCCTAGGACGGCAGTCAGGCTGGGCCTACTGAGGACAGCGGGTCCCAGGGAAGGGGGCACAAACTTTTTGAGTATCCCCACCTCGGCGGATTTTCAGGTTTGCCTGGTTTAAACCACCAGTTGGTCTAAGCCTTTTTTTCCGGATGCCAATTTCTGCGGTGCGCCCAAGAGATACGGAACTGTTGCTGGCGCGATGTTGCATCTTTTTGCCTGGTCCCATCCGCGTTTTCCGTACGATAGCCCTGACCCATACGTTCTGTGGCGTGTTAACTGCCGCGTGGGAACAAAATACCTGGGAAACGTACAGGTGGTTTAAACCAGCATTACCTCCGAGCCTGTTTTTCATGGAGCAAAAATTCCGTGCACGCTGGTGGAGGGGAGTGTCTCCTTCTCTCGAGTCTTTTTGTGCTGTTACGGGTACTGGCCGAGTCGTCTTGAATCGACGGCGCCGAGTCGCCGAGTTGTCTCGAATCGACGGCCTAAGGCCAGATCCAAGGCAACGGAATTCCAGGGGCAGTTATCGTAAGAGGGGTTTAGTAAGGGATCTGTTGATGGTTTTTGTTTTTTACGACTCTCTTGTTTGCGGGCTGTACAAAATTAAGTTTAATTAACTTTTTTTTTTTTTTTTTTTCTTGGTCCATTTTCTTTTCCGTGTTTTCGATGACAAGCTTGCCGTCATTTTCCTGCTTCGTTTCATCCATGTGGTCGAAGCCGGTTGGACGGCAAGTGGCCCTGGATTGATAGGGTTTGCGATGACTGGGTGTGCAAGGGGCACACGTGTGCCCCTCGCCGTGTCGATCGTGGCCTGTCCAATGATGATTCCCTCCAACATGGGAGGAGGTTGAATTGGCCCGGTAGTATCATCGGATGGATGTCATCCGATGATACTCCCAGGCCATGTAAACCCTTGTGTCGATATCATCCAGTCATTTCTAACTGAACCAACGTCCATAACACGGATATCAGAATCGCCACGAAGGAAAAAATGCTATCATGATGAAGGATGGGGTCAGCGCAGAACGCCTGCCGTCAGAACCACACTCGCCAGTTTCCCATCATGCAGCTCGCCTCCCAAATCCTTAGCCTTGTTTCTGGGATCAGTTGAGGAAGCTGTCGCTGTCTCACTCGACTGACCCTGATGACTGCTCGAGCTATCATCACTGCCACGTCGAATGAGGGTGTCGATGCTCACCCTCTGACCACTGTTGACGCCCGCAGAACAATTGTCGGAGAAAGGGAGAAGACGAACATAATCCGCCGTCCCACCACCCATAACCATCCACCCCCGAATTGAATCCTGCCAATTACATTGTCGATTAGATGATTAGGTGGCGTATGCGCATCATCGTCGTTAATTTGACTTCCATGACCCTCGCATACCCCACCAATTGAAGAGGCGAGGAATTTCATTCTCTACGTGCTCTTGAAGACTTCTGTCTTCCATAGCCAGTCCACTTGGGAATGGAGGAGGGGGGGGGGCGGGGGCGGGGCTCATGTTATGGGAAAATGTCTAGGGCGGGGGACTTTGTTTTGGTATGCAGTAGTTGTATATATATGTGTGTGTCTTTGTGTTTAGTTTGTGTATGTTCTTCTGTATTGCCAGACCGATTTCCATCATTGTGAGTGAAGAGCTTGTCTTGTCTTGAAGAAGAAGAAGAAGAAGAAGAAGAAAGAAGATGATAGGTCTTCTTCTTCTTCTCTTTCATCTTCGTTACCTTTGTCTTTGTCATTTTCCCAACACTGGCGGAGGTACTACCGTCTTCACCCGAATAGAACGCCCGGTCATTATCACTGTATCTAGACTTGAAGTTTCCGTAAATACAGGTATAATGACCGGGCGTTCTATTCAGGTGAAGAGTCTGAAGACGGTAGTGGTTGACAAAAAACATGAAAAATTCCATGGTCGAAGGGTGTTTGCTGTGTTGTAAGGGAAAAATATGGGGAAAATGGAAACAATTTGACCCACAAAAGAATTATGGGGCAGGTCTGACGCATATGGCCATCTCTGCCTGGCCCACCCCCTACATCGGCATGGTGCGCCGGGGGTGGATGAAATGGAGTATCAGGAAGGGCTTGGAGGTACTGGTGTTTTAAATCACCAGTTTGTGTGGCAGCTTGGTAGTTTTGCGGCAGTGCACAACGACGCGGTGGGGCATTCTGGTAGCAAAGCAAAGATAAACTGTGCTGCCAAGTCTGGGAAATTGAGGTATGATTGCTAGTGCAAGCATGGATGCATTATGCAGGGGGGCTTCAGCTGGATTGCATTGTGTGCCATTGGATATCGAAGTAGGATGGACAAAGAAAAGCTAGTCTTTTGGAAACTCTTGGGCTAAGGCTGCTGATGACCTGTGTTTGTCTGGGTGTGGGTAGGTGGCTAGGGTGGGTGGGTGGGTGTTTGTGGGTGGGTGTTTGTTTGTGGGTGGGTGCGTGCGCGGGTGTGGTGGGGTGTGTTGTTCGGAATGATGGGGGATGCGTTTTTTGCGTTCTTCCAGGTTTGATGTTGATATTGAGAATATCAAAAGGCACATTGCTGTTAGGAACACATCTGTTGAGAGAGATGAGAGGTGTTTCAGGAAGGAGCTGAGAAGCCCCTACAATTTTGTCCCCTTCTACTTGCCTCAAGTAGTAAAAGGCATCAAGAGGATGATTTACCTCGACCTTGACATCGTTGTTCAGGTATGTGGCACTCTCTCTCTCTCTCTCTCTCTCTCTCTCTCTCTCTCTCTCTCTCTCTCTCTCTC